ATGATATGGGAGTGGGATGATATGGGATGGGATGCGGAGCATACCTTTGGGAGAAAAACCGCCCGCAAGGCAATGCCGCCTGAGAAGTTGCATTCTGTCTGTTACTTTGCTATGTTTACAGTATTTTTACCATCAGAGTAAACTCCAGATTTCCAGTTGTTCCAGTCAGTGTTTTAAAAGCATGGTAAGTTTGTATCCTGTGAAATGTGTTTAATATGCCCCTGTTTTAGTATATCCTCACTGACTCCTGAGCTCTGCCCTTTGCTCCATCCATGCTCATACGAAAATGGCTGGTTAATTCCTGCTTCTGCGAGGGGAAAGGATAAGAAAATATAGTTCTGCTTGAGGCTGGAGGCATCTCTATAGACATGTACACTGTGGGTTTTTACTGACTTGTTCTCTAAGTTTGAATCACTTTATGAGATTTAATTGGTAACGGAAACATTCGTATTAAATTTTGATTTGGGTCTGGAGCATACTTTTAATTTGGCTATTCCTACTTTCTGAGGGTTTGTTACCTTTGTAGAGCAGCCCTAGAGCTTATGAGGTGGTTTCCTTATGCAGGGAACTAAAGCAAAGAAATGTTCCCGTACTGCTCTACTGCTGCTCAGGGATGTCCAATCTACAGGGTTAGTCCAAAGTAAAATCCCCTGAGACATCCTTGGTATGATGGTCAGATCCTCAGTGCCAAATACTCTGCTTTGTGCTCTGACTCCTCTAGTCTGGCCTACAGAGAAGATGTAGGTATCACCTAAGAGCATTATAAAAGGTGCTGAGTTGTTTTTCCTGAAGGCAGAAATTAGCCTTGTAGACAATGCTGGAAACATCAAGGAATGTTTTCCCTTGCTGCTGTGCTGTTTTTGAGTAGCCAGCTCAAATAATGGGGTTGTTTTCAAGCCTCTGCATTCCTGAGTTTGGTACTAGGAATACAAACTGCCATCCCCAGCTGGCTTTGGAGCTGGCTTTGTGCTGCAAATGCTTGTCCACTGGGAACCAAAAGCCAGATGTGCTTCACATAGTTTCCAGGCAGCACTGATCCATCAGATGACAGTAGCTATTGAGTGCTCTTATGGTGGCCCAGAGACACAAAGATGAAAGCCTGATGCCTGTCAACACCTCCCTTGCCATTCCTGTGTGTCTTCAGTTTTCACTTCAGTCCACCTCACAAAAGCAACTGCCACAGAATATGATGTTGCAATGTTAATAGCCTTTTATTTTTGAGAAAGAAAATCCCAAGTTTTGTAATTTTGAACTACCAGACAAATTTGGGATACATTGAATTTTGTCAAATATTTTCCTGCACCAGCCTTAGCTGGTAACCCACCTTCTTCTTTAGAAGCATTTTCTGCAGCATTTCCTGGATGATTTTTAGTATGTAAGATGAACAATATTTGAATGCCCCCTCAAGGAAATGTATTTACATGGAGGAAAAAAGCTCTAATGAACAGCCAAAAGGAAAGGCCTGTAGAGATACCTGGAATAATTTCTTAGAGTGGCTTACGTTGTTTCCCAGCTGCTCTGCCTTTAAACAGCCTCTTACCCCACTCAGGAGCTCCACCAATTGCAAAAGTAAGAACTAACCAGTGCCAGATTCAAGTCTCAAAATACAAACCCTCTGAGATACAGGGAGTGAAGGGGTGGGGGGCAGGTTCATAAGAAAACTTCTAAGCATTACTGTAGCATAAATAATATGGCATCTTTCACCTCAAATAGCCTAACACTTCATAAAGTGATATGAGCTCCACTAGTTGCTGAAACACAGCTATTTCTGAAGTGGAACCTGATCTCTTTCTCTTTTTTCTTTCTTTTTCTTTTTTTTTTTTCTTTTAAGCTAGCAGACTGCAATGTTTTAAGGTGGAGAGTGAAGGATAGAGTATACAACCAATCATAAATATAAATCTAGGAAGGCTTTGCAAAATGGAAAGATCAAGCAAAATCTACTTTTATTAATAGCATGCGTCCTGGTGTCCCATAAACTTGTGTCCTAAATTTATAAATGCAGTTCATCTAGAGGAGATGCAGGCAGGATTTTGTCCTCTTTGTTTCAGCAATATTCTCTTATGGGCCTGTGGTGGCAGATGCTTTGGTTTTTTTCCTCTCTTCATTCAGTTTAATGTCCAAGTCCCGGAGCTGGCTGAGGAACCCCATATTTGGGCAGATGTTTCTGTGAGTGCTCACTGTCTTCAGAGCATCCACGAGTGTCATGTTTTCATGGATCATTAGAAAGGCAAGCACTAAAGTTGCTGAGCGGCTCACTCCCATGGCACAATGAACGAACACCTTACCTGCACAAACAAAAAGGCACAGCAAGGTGAGTGTGCTTTATCATTTCTATAGTGGATAAGACAAAGGGAGGAGAAAAAAAATCAGTAGAAACAAGTGAAGAAAACAATGGTGACAATTAGTGGATCTTCATGCCTTAGGAAGATAACCTCTCAGGCAAGCTGGTATTTCATACTAACCTCCTGCATCTAATTTAGGCCTAAGAGTGAAATAGTTGAAATTTTCTGTGGAAGGAGAAGCTTTCTGTGACTAAACTTGTTAGTATAGTTTTCTGTGGAAAAAAAAAAGTTTTGGCAGAAAACTTTGGCCCAGCCCTGACTGTGATCACTGGCAAGTCCCACAAACTCTGTGGGATAGTCTGCCTGTAAAAATGGAGTTGTAATTTACTGTATCTCAGCAGCCCAGTGTGAGCTATAACTGAGGATTTAATAAAGCACTCCAGTGAAAGCAGCAGATTCTGCAGCCAGTCAGAGTCAGAGCAAACTCTGGAACAAATGGAAATTATGATAACTAGGCCCTAATCCAAACTCTGCTGACAAAAATTCAGCAGGCTGCAGGTCAGGCTCGTAGTTTTTGACTTAGTTCATTAACTTCTGCTGCTTCTCTAGCCTAATAGACAGGCTGAATAAAGCTGCAATTCTGTGAAGTACTTGAGCGTGTGAAGCATTCGAGCCAGCACTGAAGTGCCGCTGCTCCCCCAGGGAGCAGGAGCAGCATGCAGGGCAGGATCCCCAGCTGGAGCCCCTGGCAGTGTGCAAGGGGTGGGAGGGACATGTGGGAGCACACAGATCCTGCTGATCCCTACAGGATGAGCCCATGGGGCAGCATCTGCAGTGCCATAACCTCTGCCCTTCCCTCTACACTCCAGTCTCAGAGCTTGCCCTTCTTTCCACCAGGCTGGGCTGGGGACAGGCAGTCTTCTGCAGCTCCTGGGGACCTGGCACAGCCACCTTCCCTGCAGCACATGGCATAGGCACCCTTCTCCATCCTCTGCTCAGTGGCTCTGTCTGTGCTGCCTTGAACCATATGCTGATTGTGAGCTCTGTTGGTGCCTGTTACTGCAATGAAAAGTCATTTGGCTTGTGTCGAAATTTCCCCTCAAAGTTTATCTTTGCTTCTCTCTTACCTCCTGAAGAGTTTAGGGCCTTGCGTATGAAATTGGCAGCATCATAGAAGAAGACACTTAAATCGAAGGCAGGATCATCAAATGCTTCTATTCCATAGTACTCTATTTGCAGATCTGCATAATATTTGGCTCCCGTGTCGATGTTATATGGTCCATCTGCTGCATTAAGGATATGAGTAATTTTGAGGCTTTGAAGTGTAGCTTTGCTCCTAGCAGCCCACCTGTTGAAAGACATGAAGGGCACATTGGCAACGCTCCTAACATTCTGCAAAAATAGCATGGTTTAAAGTTAGTGCCTGCTCCCACTATGGAAGGATGCAGGAACTGCACCCTGCTTACAGAGGAACAAATCTCAAGAAGCACATAGTGCTTTGCACATGAATGTCATATGGAGGGGTGGAGAACAGCGGGAGCACAGACTTGCCACTGGGTTACTGTTAGTTAAGCAAATGCCTCCCAGCAGATAATCCCTGGGAACTGTATGAAGTTGTAAAGATTTTCCTTAAATATTTGTTTAGGAATTTTTAGAGCTAATCTCTCATTGGCAGTGTACCTCGTCTCAAGAGTGAGAGTTTGCACTGATGCAGCAACATCTTGTTCCTGGTTTGGACATGAAGTGGATGCATTGTGTTCACCAGCTAGGTGAACCCCACCTCCCACCATAAACTAGGACTATAGGCATTCAAAAGGATTCTGAACCTTAACTGATATATTCATGAGGAGGAGGAGCTGGGAAAAATGAGCTAATGATCTAGGTAATCTGCAGTAATCCAATTGGAAGGAAATAGCAATAAATATTATTGGTCACAAGAATAAGGTATTTGCATGAAATTCATGTTTGATATTTTCAGTTTTATCATCTTGGAAAGAAAGCTTGGATTTGGAATGTCAAGATCACTATTGCACAATTCATTTGGGTACTCCTCCTTCTGGGTTTTAATCTTGCTACCCCTATCTGAGTGTTAGGTCTACTGGCCTCTTGTCTGCTGCCTTAGAGGCCACAATTTCCAGGCCACATAAGGCATCTCAGAATTGACATCAATTTGGCATAGGTTTTTGAAGACTTTAGTCTAGAATACAAATAATTTTTACCCTGCTAAATTCATGGTGGCTCAAAAAATATAAAAAACCAAATCAGACATGCTAGGAGTAAGTCACCACTTTGCATGTTATATGTTTCTTGACATCCAAGCTCTTTACATCATCACTTTGGAAGCCTGTATCACAAAAACATTCCTGAAGACCCAAAAGCTGCTCCCCAGTAGTACCATGCCCTTTCCTCCTCCTCCTCCCAGGGACTGATAACAGTTTACAATAGGACCATAAGTTCTTACGCATCTCCCACGTAGATATTTGGCCAGACTTGGTCCACATGATTATCAGAGCCTCCTCTGAGCCACAGGAGCTGCTGGAGATCTGTTAGTGATGGTGTTTCGTAGATAGGGCTCCTAGTCAGAGGTGAAGAGTCTCTGGTGCGAAGCATCCTGCTGTTCCTTTGCATGCACTCAGGCTGTATCAGAGACAGGTTTTCTGAAATGAATTAAAAGGAAATTTTCATACAGAAATACTATTCCCTAGAAAGTAGACCTGTTCATTACCCTCCAAATAGGATTACATTATTAGAACTAGTGTGTGCAGCAGGGCCTGCAGGTGTTGCTAAAAGCATCCAGGAGCAGGACTGACTCAGGGGTAGGACTCTACAGACATGTAATTTTTCCCCTGAGAGAGCAGCATAAGATAATGTGATTTAATTTCTTGTCAAGTAACACTATTGGTAAAGAACATCTGCACCACCTGAATGCAGACTGGATGAACCTTGTAGGCACAGGTAACATTTCTCTTTTTGTTAAAGTGCTACCAGAGTATTTGTATACACTTGATTCTGATTAGTTAAAACTGGAAGGTTTTGAATGTATCAGTTAATTGACTTACAAAGTTTCTAGGGCCACAGTGAAAATCTTATGATGTGTATGTGAGCACCATCTGTATGGTGCATGTGTACACACATAGAAACAGTGTGTACATACAATTTTATTTCATTTACAGTGATGTATTTAAACACACCTACACATACATACATGTATACATAAGAAAGGATTTTCACATGCGTCTATAAACATATATATATTGTATATGTCAGTATGTATAGAAAGAGAAATTGAGAGGATTTGAACTAGTTTTTTTCTCTCTCAGTTGAATATCCCTGGACACTCAGCTATGCTGGTATTCTTGTGCCTGTCTATCTCAATCTCTCCTCTGGGAGCTGTTCCACTTTGTATAAATAATGTGATAGCTACTTCCCTCCAGAGAGGGGCCATTTTTCTTGTCTGAGGGGCAGGGTACTTACCCAGGATGTGAGAAAAAAATAGTATTTTTGAAATTATAGAGCTAAAAGTTCTGGCATTGTTATCCTGTTGAGAATCCATCTAGGGCTCCCTCACAGGTCTCTGAGATCACAGACCTCTGAACCCTCACAAATCATGCTGTCGAATATGGGCAACCCTTTTGCAATGCTGTTTGCTGATTTAGACCCAGCAAGCCCAGGTCAGATGGTTCAGCTGGAAGCAAAGCTCAGTCAAGAGCAAGATATCCAAGCAGTCCCTCCTCCGAGACTTTAGAAACATTTCTCCTGCCTGGATCTCATTATCCTGAATTGATGTTCTTGCCCCCTGAAACTATTCATGAGCTTTATTTGGTTGCTTGTTCTTACTCAAGTCATAATCAATGTGGAAGGCACACTAGAACTCTTCCCAAAGTAGGGTAAATGGTGTTTATTCTGATATGGCATCAGCTTTCACTCTAATGCCTGAATGCCTAAATCTAAAGTTTGGGTTTATTTTCTCAGCAATTTTAGAAAACAAGCATAGATGGACCTTCAGAAGTCACCTGGTCTTCCCCTGCCCCACAGCAGCAGCAGCCATACAGATGTTGCTCCTAAAACAACAACTTTGTCCATGTACATTATTTTTAACAGTGTAAGCTGATTTGGGGAATAAGCAGAAAACAAGGGAGAATATATTTTTGCTTACAGAAAAGGAAGTGGAGTTGATGTGAGGCATATTGCTGAACATACAGATATATTTCTGAGTCCTCAGTCTAAATTTGCTTCCTTTGCCCCTTCCTCCCTCCTCCTCCCTAAAAATGTTAAGTGTAGTTATAGCTTTTTGTGCGTTCCAATAAGAAAGAGGTCTCCCTAGGGTAACTACTTAATAAGCAAGATATGAAAAGCACAATAAAGATGATGGGAGACATAGAAAAAAGAAGACTGGGTTTTACTTTTAATGATGGAGGAAAAGAACTGCAGGGAGGTAGAGAGAAATATAGAGATAAAATCCTATGACTTTTTCAGGGCAGATAACATAAGATCAAGAGCTTTGGTAAAGGAGTATGTTGTGCAATCCTAGCCCAGATTAGCATGAAGAATAGCACAGAAAGAGATAGTGTGCATTGCCCTGCAAGTTTTACTGCCTTGTGAAAGTCATGCACTGTGCTCAAGAGCTACTGCCAGCATCTTCATGATGACCTGTTTGTACTTCCACCGACACAGAACATTAGGCTGAAGCAGTTAAAGAAAATCAAGAATAAGATAATACAGGTTCTACATCAGGAGATTAATGGGACTATGGGCTCATTTTCGAGGAGTGTGGCTGACTCTGAGTTGCTGCAAATGCTTAAGGGCTGAAGTTGTGGAGCAGATGGATACCAAACTTTCATTTCTCCTAGACCCTGCCGCTTTAAACTTCTATTGTAGCCTCTCAGTTACAGTAATGGAGATGATGAGAAAAGAGAATTAGATTGTGTGGCCACCTGTTCAAGACCTGACTTTGGGGAGGTTCTCCCAAAAATGAGTCATTTTGGTGCTAGTGACACTTCACAGATGATTCTGGCCTTTGCAGCCAGGGAAATGCTTTGCAACAGAGCTCCATTTCATAGAGCAATCCTCTTTCCAAAAGGTGTACCAGCATTGTTTTATTCACATGCCTGATGTCAGACAAGTGAGCTCCTGGTGTCAACACAAGCACAGCTCCTGCCTGTGCTGCACTGCCTGAAATTGCAGTGCTCTGCAGGGGCTTCAGGGTAAGCCTGGAAATAGCTATAGCAGATGATTGCACTAATGAGGAAAGCAATATGAATTTTCTAATTGAAGGCCAGGGACTTTGGTGAAGGTTTTCCCCCACCTTCTACTTTAAGATACTGCAGAGGTAGCAAAAGGGCTGCCACTGATAACATTTCTCTAAGCTTCTCCCTCTGGGTGGCTCCCAGAAGCTGCTCTAGTTGGAAACAGTGACAGTAGGAGGGCAGGAATCCCTGTACCAGAGAGAAAAATTCTGTCTTACAAGGCCACTAACATTTTCTGCAGAGATCTAAACCATGCAGGTTGGATAGGATTACTTTTCTTTTAAACTGTAGCCATCTCATTAGCCTTTCT